CGCTTCGGAGCTTCTGTTCGTACACTTGCAACAAACTGGTCAATCGGAATATCCTCCTGATCAGATGGACTTTAATTTTAAGCTAAGATTTTTAAATATGCAGTTGCTGTATGTTACTTTCATAATTAACTAATTTATTCTTCGGTTTACGATCATGTTCTTAAAATTCGAAACAATGGAAAACAAATTTTCAAGATTTTCAAACACTGTTCTATTAGTCTCAGCTTCTTGATGTGTTAGATTAGTTATAAAAAGTTATTAGTTATGAAAAAGCATTCGATAAAGTATGCCACAACGGACTCAGATAAAAACTGTCCAAATTGGGATTCCCCATACAAATATCCGCTGAGTTTCTAACTTTCTTGAAGATAGGAGCATCAGAGTGAATGTTGAGGGTACCTACTCCGAGTGATGCAGTCGCTAGTTCTCATAGCAACTTGTGACAACGGACAGACAGACAGAAAACTTTGTTTTTATATATATATGAACGTACTGAAAATACTCAGTGGCAGTCATGAGCATGCGCATAAAGGCGGTTACGTGGATAATAACATTATGTATTTATCAAATTTGTAACTGCATACTTATTGTAACTGTATACCGTGATATGCTATGTTATTGCCATTCGGGGAAATTCGAACCTCTAGGGTATAAGCTTAACTCCCTTTTCCGATGGCTTGGTTTTGGGATGTATTTCAACGTCTTGCGTTCTATTTTTCTTCGTGTTTCATTAGGAGAATCGGTAATCTTATAACTGACTGTAGACCGTAAATAGTAACTACGACCTAGGCTTGAACGGTCTGCATATCGATATTTACTTCTATATATCTAATTCATAGTAATTCCTGTTCACATGTGAGGTTGGAGAATAGAAATTAAGTAATAATAATATTACACATGCGTAGCCTATAGTTCTGTGGACTCTCATTCAACAGATATTTGATCTAAGAAGACACATATTGCTACATGGTGTTTGTTTGTCTGTCATAATTATTATACCTCTCTCACCATTACCTGTTTGTTTGATTATATATATATATATATATACATGTGTGCTTGGGTGGATGTTTCTATAAATTCCTTTATCAGATATTGCTTCTTACATTGATCAAGACTGCACCATGAAAAAGATAGTCACTATTTAGGTTTCACTATACAGCGATAAAAAAGGCCATACCAAATCTGAAGAATGTCTTCCAATATCGTAAACATCTGTCTGTAATACGTAAAACGCTGCCATAGTCACTAAACAGTCCTGAAGATCGCGTGTTTTTTGTTTTGTTTTCTCTTATTATTATTTTTTTTTAGATTTTCAAATAAGCAAACCATGTATTTCACATGATTGCATTTCTGGTTTCTGAACTGGTAAGTGTATCTTAGATTGTAACGGGGCATTTCCAAGAGCTTCAGATATTATAAACATTCCAAAAAGAGAGAGAGAGAGTTCGCAAGTTTTAGGTTTATTGATATCAATACATTTTATGACATATCTTCGAATACGGTCAGTTAAACTAAATGTATATCTGTTGCGTTACACGGTATAATATTTTTCTACTGAAAATATAATGATTACTGGGTGTAAAAAAAGACTGCTAAAACAAACTTTGTTTCAAGAACAAAAAAAATTAAAACTACTACTAAAAGAATTTGAAACAGCTCAATGAATATAATATTAGATGTTTTTATGTATCAGCTGTTAGTCTTAACTTTTCTAGTAAATATAAATACTGAAGTAATTAGAAACAGTCTACAATATTGAAATTCGAGGTTGAAATTAACAAAAGCAAATAAAAAAAGAGATAAATTAGCCTATTTCTACATTTTCCTAGCCTTTTACAAATTGCTGAAGTTTTATGCTGTTTTTGAGAGTATTTGAAAATTTTCTAGATCTCATGATATCGAGATACACTTACAGTCTGCTCAACCTAATATTTTTAATTCATCACCAAAAAATAAAATTTATAATAACATAATTAACATTGTAGTAAAAGATAATAGTTACAACTATATGGGATTAAATAAAATTTACTTACCTGCAGGTACTGAATATACTCTTTACTTGAATTTGTTTAAGCGCAAAGCTGCTTAATGAGCTACATGCGCTATGCCTACTGCATGTATTGGACTACGAAGTTTATCGTTGTAAGCCTTCAAGCTTACCGTTGAGCCACCAGAATCCCTTACTTAGGATCTGCGCTCTTGAATCGTTACAGACAGTTTCGCTACAATTATCGGTGAACTTCTACGTACTTGTAAAGAGGTTGAAATAGTCTAGTTACTCATTTATGAGATGATATTTTCATAGTATCTAATGGTTGGGTGAGGCTTAGTGGTTAGCGTGTGTCAGCACTGTGAATCCATAAGTTTCCATTTTGTGTCAGCACTGTGAATCCATAGTTTCCATTTTGTGCCAGCACTGTGAATCCAAAGTTTCCATTTTGTGTCAGCACTGTGAATCCAAAGTTTCCATTTTGTGTCAGTACTGTGAATCCATAGTTTCGATTTTGTGCCAGCACTGTGAATCCAAAGTTTCCATTTTGTGTCAGCACTGTGAGTCCAAAGTTTCCATTTTGTGTCAGCATTGTGAGTCCAAAGTTTCCATTTTGTGTCAGCACTGTGAATACAAAGTTTCCATTTTGTGTCAGCACTGTGAGTCCAAAGTTTCCATTTTGTGTCAGCACTGTGAATACAAAGTTTCCATTTTGTGACTCATTTTCGGTAAAACACGATCTGCACTTTGGGGTAGTGGGTGTTCAATAAGAGCAGTGACTAAATTCCAATATTCGGTCAGACAAGAGTCGCTCAAGTGTTGCCAGTGGGTGCTGTTGACCAGCTGTTTTCTCTCTGGCATCGCATTTTTAGATTAAGGACGATTATGTGTAGATGGTCCTTTGTGTAGTTTTGCGCGAGATTTTCAACCATTCATATTACCAAACGACCATTTTACTAGTAGAATAAAAATAATGAAGTTTGTGGTATATTTTATATACTTTCTAACACCACACTATTAACAGGAGCTAAACTAAATTTTATTTTACGTATAATTATCCTCTTAAAGGAAAATTAAACCTACTTTAGAGTTCGTTTAAACGCAAAGCTCTTTTTGCTGTTCAGTGCAAAGCTAAACAATGGTGCTCACTGCGAAAGACTGAACTTCGGATTTTAGTGTTGGAAGTCCATAAGTTTACCACTCATCTACTGGAAGATAAGAGCAAAGCTGCTCAATGAACTATTTGCATTGTATCCACCGGAAGTATCTAACCTTGAATTGTCACGTTATAAGCCCTCAATCTTTCCGCTGAGCCTCAGAGGTCATTGTTTTAGAGAGTAAAATTAAAATAATATTGTCTTGATTAGCGCCCAAAATATCTTAAATCTATTTTTGCTTAACCCGCCTTAAAGAGGCTTATTTTGACCAATTTAAAGCATTAATAACTTATTGAAAAATAAGCATTTAAACGACAGATGACATCGTTTAATGATTTAAATTCAATAATTTTTTTTCCTTTTTCTGGAAACGTGTAAAAAACATTCACAATCAAGGGATATCTAATATAACTATTGGTTGTTTTTGTTTCCTCTTTTTGTTAAATCTTCGATCGATTTTCTGTTACAAAAGTTATAAATAATTCTGTAGCAGGTCGTTAAAGCACAAAAGAAAAACTAATTTTCTTCTAAAAAATATATATGTACTTAATATCTCAATGAAATAAGATTAAGGTTGTATCTATTGCAGTCTCACAGAACTCGCTATCAGGTCATCTATCATTTAGATACTATGGAAAATCAGTTATGGGTTTGCTAAAATCAATTTAGATTATTCCGTGACTAATCTATTTGAGATCAGAATGAAGAAATAGATATCAGGTAAAAACAAAAAATATCCTAAAGCTCCTTAATGGGAGAAGGTATATAAAAATCTGCTCCAACGATCGTTATAATTATATCGTACTGTTGTAAGTATTCTACTCACTACAGCAGCTGCGCAGATATGGAAGCGAGCTCTGCTATAAATAGTTTAAAAGCCAAGATATAATATATATATAACAGACTGAACATTGACAGAAATCGTCTAAGAAATCAAGTTACACTACGTATATTGTTCCTTACTCATATTGTATCATATAGTTCTTAGCAAGTACGTAAGGTCAGTAATTACATAGATTGTTCAGTGCACATATTGTTTGATATAGTTCCTAGCTAGTAAGTAAAGTCTAAGTTACGTATACTGTTCCTTACCCATGTTGTATCTGAGAGTCCTTAGCAAGTAAGTAATGTCTACAGGTACGTAGATTGTTCCTTACTCGTATTGTATCATATTATTCTTAACAAATAATTAAGTTTGTAATTACCATAGACTGTTCCTTACTCATATTGTATCATATGGTTCTTAGCAATCTAGTAATGTCTGTCGGTAGTTAAGTAGGATTGACTCGTTAACTAGAACTATGATACAATATGAGTTAGAAACAATCGTCTTTACTACAGGTTTTACTCACTAGCTTAGAGCTATGATACAATATAAGTTGAAAACACAATACTTAACGTAACAACAAAAATAACTTACTAACTACAGATTATCGTACATATAAGATAGAAATAGTCCATCTAACGAAAGTACAGATAATAAGTACCACAGTGGACTCACGAACATTTTGATACTAATTCTTAAAGGATTGAAGATATTCAAACTACTCAGAGAAATATAAAAATGGTCTTGAAATGTTTTATCTGATGACTTTTCTACTAATTTAAGTATTTATTTTGTATTTACAATTTCACAGTTATAATAAAGTATTTTGATTTTAAACTTAAGTCAATCTTATAAGATCACCAGATAATTGAATCATTTTTACTAAAACGTCTTTAACTTTTTTTAACTGAAATGTGTACGCATGCGTCTTTTGTTCACGTAGATCAACAGAACGAGTGTTATTACTCTTATCTGGTGTAACGGTGTGACGTTGAACTGGAAATTGGATAGCGAACCACGTTGTGTTTCTTGTAAACATCCAAGATTGTCACATCTTCCGCTGCTTCAAGAGAAGTACGATCAAAATGAATTTTCAGCATCAACTTATCAAGATTATACTTCTGACTCTAGTGGGGTTTTCAAAAACTACTGGTAAGACTAACACAGAGCATAAATGTTTCATCAAACTTAAATTCAATGATTAAACTAGTTTTTGTTTACATTCTAGTTTTTTAATACTACTGCATTTTTTTGAATGCATTTTTCTTGAGAGATCCCACATTACGTCTCTTAAACTGGTTTGTTACTTCCTTAACGTGAATTCATTATTTTCTTATTGATCTAATGTAAAAAAAATGTATCATACACAAACATCAATATTCGTTTCTATTTTATTAGATGTCTTAATTGTCTTTCTGTCTATGTGTCTTTTTTGGAAAGTAATTGGATAGCCTGTGACACATTAACAATGAATCTGTGTCATGATGTAATTGGCTCGAAATAATGCCTGTTTTAATTTGTAATAATGAAAAACTGTAGGAAAAAGAACAAAATCTTGGCATATATGTATGTTGTTGAAAAACAGTGTTCTCAAAGAAATATTAAGACATTTCAACAAGAACTCGTCTGAACTTGTATTTTGTATTTCGACCTAACAGTTAAGTAAATAAAGTGCATTTAAACCCGGTATTAGGTAGCTGAGGTTTTAAAACAATCCAAATAATTTTTCACAATTTAGGTGTGAACACTGAGTCAGCAATTATCGTCTTAATGATATATATATATATCAAAATGTCGATTCCAGCTTTTTCAGTGTTTACAAAGCTTGGACTTTCATCAAAGACAAAAGGAACTATTTCTTATTCTAAACTAACAAGTTCTCACTAAAATTTATTGTCATCGTCGATTCAAAACTAAATCATTTAAATAATTAGAGTAGCTGTATATGTATTAATAGTTTCAATGACAAAGAAGATTTAGGGGATCTGTGTATATATTCATAGCATCAATAACAAATCAGTTTAGATGTGGGTGGGATCGGTGCATATATTGATATTTTTAATAACAAAGGAACTTAAGGGCTGTATATGCATTGATAATTCCTATAACAAAGGAGCTTAGGAGGAGCTTTGTATGTATTGATAGTTTGAATAACAAAGTAATTTCAGGGGATCTTTGTATATATTGATAGTTTCAACAACAAAGAAGCTTATGTGGAATTGTGTACATATTGATAGTCTCAATGACATTGGAGCTTCAGGGGAGTTTTGTATGTATTGATAGTTTCAATAAAAAAAATAATTTATGGGGGATCTTTGTATTTATTGATAGTTTTATCATAAAGCTAGTTTATAATATTAAGTTACATCAAACTATTTACTGTCTATATCTTAAGTAAATAAATTGACTGTTCGTAAGTCACAAGTTATTGTTATCAAAAACAAACAAAATTAATAGCTGAGATTCATCACTTTGAAACCTAAAAAATGTTTGTTTGTTTGAAGTTAAGCACAAAGCTACACAATGGGCTATCTGAGCTCTGCCCACCACGGGTATCGAAACCCGGTTTCTAGCGGAGTAAGTTCGCAGACATACCGCTGTGCTACTGGGGGACCCCGAAAAAATGATAATTTTACCTGTGATTTACTAACGTCTATATAATATATTAATTCGGTAATATAACGTTGTCGTTAAATAACCTTTGTCTTGTTAAGGTGTATTCAGCTTTTGTCATTTTACGTCATATTTATCACCACAAAAGTTAGTCGTACAGTATGTAACATAAACTAAAGTTTAAATTTACAAGCTAATATTTTAGTAGCTAATAAGTTTTCTCAAAACTTTAGCTTGCTAAATGCTTTAAAACACTTCCGGCACTTAATATCTTTTATCAGGTAAGCGTTGATTAAGAACGTGAGATTTATAAATTGAGTGTTATCAACAATTTCATGTTTCGTTGACTCACTAACTTTCTTGTTATGACTGCGGAGTTGAGGTACTAAGATCTACATGAGTTTATGCTTCTTTTCGTTTTGTCGCTTGTCTATTCATTAATCCCATTCAGTATGGCTTGAGAAAACCATCATTTTGTCGTTTGTCTATTCATTAATCCCATTCAGTATGGCTTGAGAAAACCATCATTTTGTCGTTTGTCTATTCATTAATCCCATTCAGTATGGCTTGAGAAAACCATCATTTTGTCGTTTGCCTATTCATTAATCCCATTCAGTATGGACTTGAGAAACCATCATTTTGTCGTTTGCCTATTCATTAATCCCATTCAGTATGGCTTGAGAAAACCATCATTTTGTCGTTTGCC